ATCAGGCACCGGCACCCGCGGAGCCGCGCCCGCCCTGGCGGCGACTCGACCCGTGTGTCGGGCCGGGAGACCGGAGGGGAGAGCAGCCTCCGGCCTGGCAGGCAGGCAGCAGGGCCGAGCTGCGCCCCCACGGCTGCGGGGTGACTGGGGAATAGGTTTGCAGGAGCGGGGAGTCGGGCGCCAGAGCCAGCAGCAGCGACACGGGCTGCTGCAGGGCATCTTTGCCCCCACGCGACACCGATGTCCTCGCTTCTTGCCAGCCTTCCCCGAGCGCCTCTGCACGTCCGCCCTCCTGCCCAGGAGGGCGCCAGGCCCCGCTAAGCCCAGTTGACCCAAGGGTTTAACTTGGCTCCGTTTCACGGGGGCCTGGGAAGAGTCTGGAGAGGAGGCAGCTTGCTAAGGGCTCGCATCCGCCAGTGCGGGAGCGGTCTTGCACTTTCCATGAGAGTCAGGTAACCAAATACCCAGCCTGCATGGCAGCGTCCCGCAGGACAGGCCAGAGGTTCCGGTGCATTGGCAGAAAGCAGCTGTCTAATGAATGCTCTTTTGGGGTACGGGGCTGTCATTTTGCTCTGTGGTTGTGCAGCACAAAGCAGCCCTCCCTAGTCATGGACCAGGTCCCTAAGGTGCTGCCATGGTGCAAAAAACCTGCAGCAGCAAAGATAATGCAAGTGCGGAAACTGCTGTATTCAGACAGGGAAGAAAGGGCTAAGCTCTTTGAATACAAAGCACGGAACAAATGCAGCTAGCTTCGCCCAGCAGAATCCCGAGAGAAACACAAGATCTCCCATGCCATGAGGTTATGTCTTTTCCCTTGTTTCTGTCAATAATCATTGAGAGCTTGGGGTTAGTCTTGCTTTTGTACCAAGGGCTGATCTTAAGGGCCTATTGTTCCCTTAATGCAGTCAGTTCTAGCTGGATGCAGGACTAGGCAGAGCCTGTTAAGTTACTGGATTTCCTTATATGGTTCAGCTGTGTTGTTCTATTATCTGGCATTGTATCTGTCATTGGTTACTATAATGATCTTTAGAAGATTTAAAAATAAAGGAACTGGTAAAGTGAGTTCCAGGAAGGGTCAGCCTAATAAGCTGCCCTCCCTATATAACTTCAGGGTAAGGAAAAAAGTGATCAGTTGCAACATTTTATTGCTGGTGAACTCAGAGAAGAAAGATCTCAGGATCAATCATGGAAGGAAGAGGAAGAAGAAAACATTTTGCCAGACTGTATTTGCGTTTCAAATATCTGGCCACTTATATGTAAATCAGGGGTTGGTCTTAGGCTCTTGACAAGTTGCTACCATGGCACTGAATGCCATCAAATCAGAAGAGTCACCTCTACTCATCCTAAGAGGCTGCACCCCCTGCCAGTAGCACCTGGGTGCATTACTGGAGCATGCATCATCACGACCATGCTAAGCCCTGGTTGGGTCATACAATTTCCAGTGCTACAAACTGGGCCTAAGATTTCCACACAGCGCTGCTCAGCTTCCCCCAGGGGCTTCACATGTGCAAACCTCAGGAAATCTGCCATTTAGCCAAAGGTAGAAAACTGCATCTGTCTTCACCACTGTGGAGTCCCCAGCACATGTTCAACCAAACTGCATTTACTTACTGCTGTACAAATGCTTCCCTGTCTTAGTCACATTGAAGCTTTTTCTTTACAAACAAGGCAGTTCTAGGAGCAAAACAAAAGCTGTGCAGTCTAGTGGATAGATCCAGGGAGCAGAAGTGGAAAGGATTGAGGGTTCTAATTTCCTGCGGAGCTGTACAAACTTAGGCAAGCCCTGCCTCTTTAATAGCAGAAAGTCAGACTCGGCACTGGAGCCAAGCTGGACAGAGGACCTTCATTTACAAATAAAAGACATTTCAGCTTGCTACTCGGATTCCCTCTGCAGTCACAGTTGGATAGATTCTTTGCTTCCAGTCCGGAGTGGTTGTGTAGTGTAGCTGCACACTGTTAAATAGTTCCTGTGTTTCACCCCAGGGAAGGCTGCAGTTCAATGATGAGTGAAGTCATTTGTATGCCACACTCTGCTGACCTTGTAAAGAATGTCTTCATGCTGTAAACACACAATATCATAGCTGCATTCACACATAAGTTCTCAAAAGGAACATTACCCTTACAATAGCATTCCTCGCTTTTAGGTTGTCTAATAGAAAAGTATGTTTTTTGTACTGAACTGATTAGGATGTTTCACACACCAAAGAGCAGCTTAGAAATTGTACATGGTAGAGGTGGTTTGGGGTTTTCAGATCAAGCAGAAGTCTACACCTTATAGACTAACTAAATCAGAGACGCATGTACTTTCATAAGCAGTGGATGGCTTCATCAGATGCTATGAAGGGATGAAGCAAGCTGCTGCTAGAAAAGCAGATGCCTCTCTGATTTAGTTAGCCAATAAGGTGCAAATCTACCCTGGCTTCTTTCTGCCTTACTTCAAACTAACATGGCTAGCTACCTCTCTCTCTCTTCAGATCAATCATTGGATGACCCATCTCAATGATGAATGCAGATTTCTTGCTTATGGCTTCCTAGAACAGACCTGAATGTGGATCTCTACTAAAGAGATAGGGAGTAGGGTGTAGAACTGAGCAAACTGCAGTTTCTCCATTGTTCCTTTTGATCCCTTTTTTCTTTCACTGGGGACAGAGCAAGTTGTATTTTCTGTAGTTAAACATGGAGTTGAGAAAAAAAGCTTTTAACTTATGGAAAGGTCCAACCACTCTCACACTTAGCTCTAATAGTCTGAAATCTGGGGAAAACTTTAAAAATAACTCCAGCTGGCACATGATTTATTGATTATACCTCATCATATGATGAAACCTCAGCTAGTTATTCAATAAAAATCAAGAGAGCTTTCAAGCATCCTTACCAAGGAATGAGGAAAGCAGTGGACACAGCCAGCTATGAAGCTAGTCAGAAAAGGGAGGTCATATGAAATGTCACAGAAATGGTGGGGAAATGATCCAATTCTGCAAAAAATGTTTTAAAAACTATAAAATTTTCTAATTTTTTTTTAAATTAAAACCTGAAACCCAAATCCACTGGAATTTGGTGGGTTTCACTTATTCATCAAAAATATATATAATTTTGAAAAGACATAAAACTTCACTTGTCATCAAAATAGATCTGTGACCAAAACCAGGGACCAGCATGTAGCCATGAATTTCCTCTGTTCCTAGCCACTCTTGCTTGGCCCCCTAGTGGTAGTTATCATCACCCAAGCCACAGGGGAGAGTAATTGAACTAACAGCCAGTGCAGTTGGATTGGGAGACCTTTGCTGGGATGGCACATGAAGGTCTCACAACAGCAGCTGACAGGCCAGATATTCACACCGCTGGTAGCAGCACAAAAAGAAACCCCAACTAATCCCCCCCCCCAGGAGTTGGGTTTTCCTAACTGACCAGTAGAACAGCACCAGAGAGAAATGCAAATGCCTCCTCCACCCCCTCCCTGTATGGTGCCTGGAACAAGGCAGATCTGGTCACTGAGATCTTGCCCCTTGCCTTTGGTGGGCACCATGGTGGGCACCAGGGTCTATAAGTTCCAAGAGGTTCTGCCTATACTCTTTGACTAGCTGCCCCCTTCCTCTGCTGCATCTTTAAAGCACCAGAGCCCCAACCACATGTAAGCAGAGCAGAGGTGGATAGAGCCAGGAAAGCAGCAGTCCCTGAAGCACCTACTCCAACTTATCTGTCAGACTGGTAGTCTGTCTGCTCCATTGTCTTGCCCTGCCTTGTACACAGGAAAGGAGTCTGTGGACCTGTCCTGGGTCATCCGTACCCGCACGGGCTCCTGACATATGAACAGGCAAATCTGCACTTGAGTATTTAAAACCAAAATCTATAGCGCCACTGTTTCTCTCCCTCGGACCAATGCAATGTCTTTGACACCAGTGGAATTAGCCCTGATTTATGCTAGCGTAGGAGGGGAATCAAGTTGTGGGTTCCATTAATGTCCTTGTTTTCTTGAGACTCATGTTACTGTAATTATTTTTCCTTTTCTCATTAAGCTTGTGCAGTCCCTGGGCATGGATCAGAGCCGCGGTTTAGCAGAGATCAAAGATAACTGCTTCCCCTCATAGTGCACTGACTTTCATTCACTTCTTCCTGTCTTATTATCATCACTAATTTCCCCACTAAAAACAATAACCCCTAGCACTTACTAGCTTCCTATCACTATGCAAACCTTCACTAATTAGTCCTTATAATACTCCCATTAGGCAGACACAGCCTTACTGATTAGTTATTATTATAAGAAGTTATTTAACCAAATCTGACAAAACCCAAAGATGGAGTAAATTTGACCTGTGGTTTCATTCTGCTGAGTTCTAGTGTGAGCATGCACATCAGGCATGCAGTTCTCAGGTGGCATAAATCAGAGCTGTCATGATTTCATTCAAGTCAGCAGGTCAGTGGGGTGTAGTTGCTATTGATCCCCAAGTGTAAGTACAAGACTGCTCTAGACCTTTGCCAAATGTCATGCCTGAGTGACCCAACTGTAAACAGGTACCTACTCATTTGGGCTGGGGAGTCCAAGGCAGCTGGATATAATGCTATCCTCATCAC